GCCTCTACTGCGGCTTCCACCGCCAGCCGCCAGATGAAGTCGACGATTAATCTGACCGTCGACCACGTGGACCGCCGGATGGCGGTCGTGTGCGGCGCTGAATATTACGACATATGTGGTGGCAGTGGGTACACCTTGGGCTGTGGCTCAGGATGTGAGAGCGGCGCACCTTATACTGACGTGAACTGCACTTGCTGCTGCCAGGCGGAACCGGCACCGGAGGATGATAACGAAGAGGATAACGCGGGGGAGGACGAGGAGCAGGAATACAGATGCTGAGGATGTGGACGAGGGAGGAGTAGTGGTAGCAGGTTGAGCAGAAGGAGGAAGAGGAGGAGGAGGAGGAGGAGGAGGAGGAGGAGGAGGCCAACGATGAGGACGAGGATGGGGCGAGGAGGAGGAGGCAGAGGGGCGACGATGAGGGAGACAACGACGACGACTAGGAGGGTGGTCGCGGCGACGACAACCTTGACGGGCTGGTCGGGCGGGCGGACCTTGACCGGCCGGTGGTCGGGCGGGCAGACTCTAACGTGCAGGTCGGGTAGGCGGGCCGGGTCGGGTGGGATGTTACTGTAGTGCACATTCGATCCAGGTGGACGACGGCGCGAGCGAAGACAGCGACGGCGACGACCACGACGGACGAGGATCACGAGAACGACGGCGACGACGAAGGCGATGATGACGACGCAGCCGACGAGCAGCGCGACAAGGACAACGACGGCGGCGGCGACGGCGACGGCGATGGCGACAACGGGGACGACTATTAGGGCGACCGCAGCGACGACAATATTTACCGGCAAGTCGTGCGGCTGGACCCGAAGAGGCGGGTCGGCCCGAGCGTACTGGGCAGGCGGGTCGGGTCGGGTCGGGTCAGGCGGGACATTGAAGTAGTGTGCGCTCAGTTCAGCTGGACATCCACCACCAGGGCGACGACGACGCGAACGAAGAGAGCGACGACGACGACGACTATGAGGACGGCCATGACGATGGCGACGATGACGGCGACGAGGACAACGGCGACGACTACTATTAGGGCGACCACGGCGACGACAATTTCACGGGCAAGTCGGGCGAGCGGACCCTAACAGGTGGGTCGGGCCGACTATCTTATGCTGGTCGGGTCGGGTCGGGCAGGACATTGAAGTAGTGCACGTTCAATTTAGCTGGACATCCATGAGGGCTCCGACGACGCGAGCGAGGAGAGCGACGACGACGACGGCGACGACGACGGCGACGGCGACGGCGACGGCGACGACGACGCCGACGAGGTGAACGACAATTCCTTGACGCTTCGCGTATCCCCACCAGCTGCAGGACACTCTCTGACGCGGCATGGCACCTACACCGTGGTGGACTGGCGCCGCGGCGTTCAGTTCGGAATTCCCAGCCACTTTGCCACAGGTCTGCATGATGCTTGAGCTTCCCTGGGCATTGCAGTTCAGCCAGTCAGCCCCCTGCCGCCGCCAGCTGCTGCTTCTGAGGGCTGGCCCGGCCGGCCTGCGCTGCGCCTAGTAGCTAATTAGGCTGGCCCGTCGCCCCGGACCCCCTTTCGCCGCCTGCCATCTGCTGCGCGGCCGCGACCAAAAAAGTATCCCCACCAGCTTCCGCTGCCTAGTCGCGGCCCGGCTAGAGTTTGGACGCCTTTTGACCCGCTTCACGAGGCCGCTGACCAAAAAATATCCCCACCAGTCCGTACCCCCATCTGGCTCACGCTCTGGCTCAAGCCGTCTCGGCTCAAGCCCGCCCCTCGCTCAGGTGCGCGCTCGGGCCGGGGCCATGTCCGCCCCTGGGGCGGCCCTCTCCGGGGCCGCGTTGCGCCGCCGTCAGCGGCTGGTGGCGGCGCGGCGGGACGCCCCGCCGGGGTTTGGCGGCCCTCCGCCGCCGTCGCCTTTGCCGCCGCCGCCGTCGGAGGCGGCCGGCGGCCGCCCCAGCTCGGCCCCCTGCGGGCGCCGCCTGCGCCAATGGCGGCATGGCTGACTTTCAGCGGCAAATCCCCCCACTGGCTTGCTATTCTGGGGAGGTTAGGGGCGAGGGCGCGGGGATGGGTGAGAAGAGGTGGACGTTGCAGGGCCCCTGGGGAAAGCATGTTGCGGTTTCCTCCGCTTCCCCGCGTCCATCATCTCGTCTCTATCTCCTCTTGTTTCTGCGCACATGAATCATGTGCGCCCGAAGGCCGATCCCCAGATAGCGCGGCCACATCGCCTGCATCGTGTCTTGACTCGGGGGCACGATCGGGGCGCGCCTATCCAGGCGCGAGAACATCACCCGACCACCCCTCCAGCACGGGTCGAGACTACCCGTCCAGGTCCGGTCATTTTTGGTGACTATGGTCCCAGGGCGCTCCGGGCGTGCATCACACGCGCGCAATGATGACCTCGCTGGCGCGGCCCGCTGGCGGCCCGCCCAGGTCGGGCAGGGGGCCGCAGGCCACGTTGGGGGTGGGCGGCGCTGGCGGCGGGTGCCCACCCGTTTTGCCCTCGCGGTCAGCGGCCGCCGCACCCCCAGCCACCTAGGCGGCGCCGACGTGCTGTTCGGAGGGGGAGGCTGCCCTCAGCCTGCCGCCGGCGCAGGGCCTCGCCAACAGCCTCCCGCGCATCCACATGCATCAAGAAATCAGACATTGGCCCAGGTACGGTCGATTTCATATTCTCGTATTCTGCCCGGGCAATGAATGTGCTTTCGAGTGACGCTGCCCCTGCGCACGATTGGAAACATCGTCGCTTGGATGGTGGTCTCGTTCCAGGAGTCTGAAGGGCAAGCTGCATTCAATGCGCGGGCGACTGGGAGTTCTATGCGAACTACTCGGGCGTGCCACGCTGGGATGCTGACAATTGTTGCTGGCTCTGCGCGGCGAGCCTGAGCGATGAACGGTTTCTTTGGACTAACACATCGCCAGACGCCCCATTCAGAGGAACCTTTAGGCCGCATGGCAGTTTTTTCGAGAACTCTCAGACGCAGGAACACAACCTTCCCCATTATTCAAGATCGTTGGCCGTCGGCTCGAAGGGACCATGAAATTTACAATGCGCACCGCGGAGCTGGGGTTTGCAAGCCACGCCATCGCGAACATCATGGTCGATGTCATGCAGACGGGCTGCTACGGATCCAATCAAAAACAGCACGCAGATAAACTGGTAGGGCCGTGGAATGCGCACAACCCGACCCCGAGAGTTCCCCCAACAACATAAATGGCATCGCGCAGGTTTCCTCAACTTGGGATTTGGTATCACGAGGGTGTCCTCAACCAGGGGGGCTTGCATCCTTTTCTGATCGCACGTTGCAGGTGGCTCCGTTTACCTGCGGTCGGTCAGCTTCGGGGAGCTTCTGGATGACGGCAGCGGCTGCGCATCAGGCGCTGCTATGCAAGGCGGTTCGTCTGGCGCCCACGTTTTGACGGGCGCTTGAGATCGGCCCCGCGTTTCGTTCGCGCGCGGGCGCAGTCCGCGTCTCCCAGTCTTACGTTTTGTTGGCGTCGTGCCTGCAATTTTGGTGGGTGGCATGGTGGGTATCGATCGAATCGGTTTGTGTCGGCCGTCCCCCATCGGCCTCGCTCAGTTGAGCTTGGATAGATTCCGGCTGGTGTCGGTCGGTGTCGGTTTGCTTCGATCGGTTTCGGTCGTCCTTCGATGGCGTCGGTCGATCTCAATGATTCTGGGACGCGGCTGCGCGAGTCCGCGGTTGAGCGAAACCGAGCGACCGATGCCGAACGAGGTCGACCGAATCATACATACGGCGGCAGAAAACAGTCGAGACCGATCCAGACAGTTGAGACCCGTTAGGACCGACCGAGATTGTTTGGGTTTCGATGCTGCGCCCGCCCCGCGCGCAGTTCGCAGGGCGGAGCGGTTCCCAGCGCGCCCGCGCATTCGATCTCGGTTCGTGGGCGGGGAAAGATTTGCTAGACTTGCCGCGCGGGGCGCTGCTCTCGGCCGTCGTAGCCCCCTTTGTTTTTGACGGCGCCTCTGGGTTTTACCCAGGTTCGCGGGCTCACTTACTATTTCGCGTTGGCGAAGTGACGGGTTCATGTTAACAAACATTCGCCGTGCGCGCGTCGAACGTCAGTTTTCGACTCGGCTGCAGTTTGCAGAAAAATCAGCGTCAATCGTTCGTTGGAAATGTCGCGCGAACAGCGCCCTTACTTTTTCTTTTTTCCCCCCGCTGCGATTTCGTTGGGAAGTGTAATAAGATTGGCAAGTTGTCGCTGGCGTTGTTCGGAACACCCCGAACGAACGTTACGCAATTTACCAATATCGACGCGAAATTGGGCCTCGGATTGCGTGGGCGAATTTGCGCCGACGCTAGCGTCGCGTCGGGCAGCCCAATCAGCGCTTGCACGTAAGGGATTTGACGTTTCATGGTGAACGATGGGGCTCCGCCGAGGTTTTGCATTGTTGCCGCCCGCGTTGCCTTGCTCGTGCCTCGTGTCCACCTCGCGCTGGGTTGGGTCGCCGCGGTAAAGAGTTGTTGATACCACGGATTTGGGTTGAGCGACGGCACGTGGCATCAACCAAAGAATTGGCATCAACCGGCGGAAAAGTGGTATCAACCGGCGAAAAAATGGTATCAACCGGCGGAAAATTGGCATCAACCGGCGCGAACGTGTGGTATCAACCGGCAAAAAGTGGTATCAACCACCAGAAAAACGGTATCAACCGGCTGAAAAGTGGTATCAACCAGCGGAAAGTGGTATCAACCGGCCGCCAAATAGTAGCACACGTGCGATGCCACGCTTCTTGCGATGTCGACGTCAGATTGCCCGCGGCGCCCTGGACTGGCCCCCATTGTACTCTGGGCCCTTATTTGCACGTACTCTCGGACCCAGGGGGCCTCGCATGAGAACTCCTCGTCTCTGTTGCTGCACCCCGTCAACGCTTGCAGAAAACAACGTCCGAGGCATCGAGGGGGATGCAGCTAGGTCACCATATGAGTATCATGTTCCCTCGAATGTTTCTCTCCAGCGCGGTGCCCCTGGCACCTGACACGCTCTCGCGTCAGCGCCGCACACGATCTTAGCCTATTTCTGCAACAGTTGCACGTGTCGATGGCATGCGTTACTCGACAAATTTTCCCCTAGCACAGCAGGAGGGAGAGGAGACATAATCCGCTGCCCTTCAGGAAGGCTATCCTCGGCACACCCGCGTGATGACGACCTAGCGCGATAACACCACAGTTGGATAACATTAAGTGTTCTAACCTAGTTATAT